TTGTCAGATGGGTAGATTGCAAAAAATTTTCTCATTCTGTCGGTTGCCAGTTCACCCTAATGATTGTTTCTTTTACTGTGAGGAAGCTCTGGAGTTTAGTTAGATCCCATTTGTCTATTTTGGATTTGTTGCCAATACTTTTGGTGTTGTAGTCATGAAGTACTTGCTTAAACCTACGTCCCAAATGGTTAAGCTTAGGTTTTCTTCTAGGTTTTTCATGGAGTTAGGTTTCATGTTTAAGTCTAAAAATATGGAACACTTCACGAATTTGCATGTCACCCTTGCGCAGGGGCCATGCTAATCTTCTCTGTGTCCTTCCAATTTTAGTGTATCTGCTGCCGAAGCGAGCACAAGTGTTCATCTTTATTCTACTTAACATTCTGCAGAAAGTTCACTAGATCTGTGTTTCATAAAGCATTAGGCTGTTCTTTTTTTAATAGCATATTTGTTTTTCACTTAAAGATGGCTCACATACCCATGTATATGCTTAAAAAACTCTTCTTTCATAGCACTTTTTCCTGATTTCCTTAGATTATTAAATTATTGTTTTCACTCCATGCTTTTGGGCTGGCAGTTAAATCCTGTTTCTTCAGCAGCTTTTGTTGCAGATCATGAGGTAAAACCACTTTTCAATTCTTCTTTCCAGTTTCCTTAGATAATACATATGAAGAGCCATTGGATCCTACTTGATTAATCAATTGTGAAGTCAACTAAAATGCTAAATGGGGTCTTCAGTGTTATCCATACATAAAGAGGACACATTGCAAATATTGTTAATAAGTCCAGACCAGTACCTTTCCCATTTAAAAATGATTCTCTTGATTTATAAATACCATCGCTTATTTTTCAGGATGGTTCAGTATTTTCCCAGTTTATTTCATAAAATAATGAAATTCTTACGTCCTTCTTGGAACAGAGTCACAGTCAAATGCACATCATTTTACACACACACATTCACACACTTAAGAATATGGTTGTCCTTCTGACACTTTCTGTGGGCCAAAGTTCAGCATAAATTATGTGATATCAGCTTGCCAGCAGCAGCAGCCACTACAAATCTGCTGATTCCCTCACTTATTAAAGAAAGATCAATTGTGTCAAATTATCTTGTGGTATGATAGGAAACATCATGAGTGCTGGTCAATTCTACATTAATTTAGTAACTTGTATTTGACACTGCTTGGCACTGAGCTAAATCTAAATTTCTTTCCCCTTAAAACAGTCATAATGGGCTGCACCTCTATTATTTTACTGCTACCCACTACTATTTCTACCACCTCCAGCACTCCACCACTGTTAACACTACTGCTACTTCTACAACAGTAGGGTAATATATGGCACTCGGTATGCCACAGTTTTCTGATTGTTTTCATTTCATACTCAAAACCGTTCTTATGATATAGAAACTATCAATATGTCTGTTTTATAAATGTACAAATGAAAGTACAAAACAGCTAAGTAATTTGCCCAAAGTCACATGGCTAGTAAGTGGCAGAATAAGGATACAAATTCTGGCTCTCTAGCTCCAGAACTCTGTACTACCTTGTATAACTACACTTAATTAACAACACCAGATACGAGATTGATGCATAAAGAAACATTGAGTTTGTGTATTTTACTGTGTTAATTTGAGAAATATGAATTTCTTTGCCAGTATAGCTGCAAATATGATATCTTTTTATTTTTCTAATTAATTGGAAGAGGTCCACCTATTTTATTAGCAGTGCTATCTTCTTGAGGTCTTCACTCCCAACTCTTGCTAATTGTTAAAGAACCTAAGGGTTCTTCTCAGTCTTCCAAACACCAGATGGACAGCTGGGTTATTGGCTCAGTGCCCTCCTGCTTGCCCTTCATCCTCAGTGTCATAGTTTCCCCATGATGACCAATTCCCCATTGCACCACAGTGCTCATCTACTGTGGTAATTATGTCTTGCTAGTTCATTCATTCAGCAAATGTTTTTAGTGACCACATAATATAGGCAGGCCCTGTGCTTCACTACTAGCTGGACTACAAAGAAGTTCAAGAGAGACATAAAGAGCTTCTCTTTAAGAAGCTTATATTCTGGTGGGAGAGATAGACAACAAAGAAGGAGGCCAATAACTAAGAAACATAACAACAGATAGTTATGAGTGTCCAAATAAAGAAGTAGGAAATAAAGAGTGTAGTTCTATTAAGGATACATAGGCAGAGCATCTGTAAGAAGGTGTCATTTAAGACCTGCAATTATAAAAAAAGTCCTAAAATTAGATTATGATAATGGTGCACAACTCTGAATATACTGAAACTATCTTTGAATTGCTAATTTTAATCAAGTGAATGTTATATTACATATCAATAAAGCTGTGAAAACAAACAAAAACCTATAAGCAGGTACTCATCTCTAGCAGAGGTATGACCAGAAGTAGACTGCTTTGTATTTTCTGCTTTTGTGCCTATTGAAAATTCTGTTATATAATTTGGGTAAATTCACAGTTTTGATCTGAGATTTGGCTCTTTTGGGTAGATTATCACTTGTTCATTTGTATTACAGTTTTTACACTTACAGTAGTCTGTGAGTTTAAACCTTAAAAAAAATTCCCCTTGCTAAATATTGGTAGAGTTTAGGAGGGATGAAACTGAGATCTTATTACTCAAGAAATAAATATTAATTAGTTTCATCAACTCATTGTATTTCTAGTTGCTGTATATTTTCAATAATCTAAGCTCAAGCAAATCAGTGCATTTCTCTAGGTGACCTTCCTTAGCATAAGCATTTCCACATGGCCTAACAACCCAATCCTACTTAACTGCGGTCCTTTTATTTCAAAATTGGTAATTACGTTTGGCTGTGCTCCTACCCAAATGCTCATCTTGACTTGTAGTCTCCATAATCTTCACCTGCTAAGGGAGAGACCAGGTGGAGGTAATAATTGAATCGTTGGGGCATTTTCCCTATGCGAGGGAGTTCTCTTGAGATCTGATGGCTATATAAGCATTTGGTAGTTCCTCCTGCATTCATTCTTCCTCCTACCGCCTTGGGAAGAAGGTGTCTTGCTTCCCCGTTGTCAGTCGCCATGAATGTAAGCCTCCTGATGCTTCCCCAGTCATGCAGAACTGTGAGTAAATTAAACTTTTTTCCTTTATAAATTACGCAATCTCAGACAGTTCTTTATTCCACTGTGAGAACAGGCTAATACAATGGATAAGATTTTCTCTTTCTCTCCTTTCAGATGTGACAAGGAAGATTGCCATCCCAGATGTTTCTGAAAGCATACCTAAAACTAAGGTAAGACATTCTTGGGGAAAAGCAAGTTCTGTATGTGGTACAAATGGGAGAGAGAATATACCAGGGTACATCAAATACTTCTGAAGTCTCCCTTACATCTGTACTTATAAAAATGTGAGAAAATACATTTCCCAATTGCCTGAGACAATTTGAGGGAAAATTTCTGTATATTTCTTTGGCTTTTTCCAGCCTGAGTACTTTATCTGGTATAAACGGGTTGTAGAGTTTAGTAACTGTAATTGACGTTGCTATCAGAAATGCTGAAACAATAAATTAGAAAGCCAGGAGTATGAGAGGATTTCATGGAGAAGGGAGTACAGTGGAGGTGGCTATAAAAGGCATCTTGCATCTCAAGAGGTTTAACAACAGTTGACCTCTACAGTTTCACAGTTGCAGTGGCTGGGGAAAAAGTAAGCATATGTAGTGTTTGGGTTAGGGGGTAGAGAAGACATGCAAGTAACTTTTATTGAGAATTTAGGTTCTTAGCACTGTTTCCATTTCAGATATATTACTACATTTTTCCTCTCAATAGCACTAATAAGTAGATACTTAAAGAGGTAGAAACCCAAAACTCTGAGATATTAATATTCTCACAATCACTCAGCTAGTATAAAACTCCTCTGCTATCCATAGTGCCTTTGCCTCCCTCGTCATATATAGCATAGTTTAATAATTTAGGAAGTAAAAAAGTACAGAATACATTTTTAAAAGTGGTCCATCAAAGGTGCTAACATGAAGATGATGTATTGTCATTTCCCAACTCTAAAGAATATTTGCTAATTCAGAATAGATTCAGAAAAAATCATTCCTAAAGGTGTCATGGTATTTGTGATAATTGTTTCACTGTACTCATAGAGGAACACCCTGGAGATTTTAAATACTTATCTCAGGACTGAAGAATGACTCCATTATCTGAAAGATCTCATCATGAAGACCTGTGCATGCTAATGCTTGGTAACTATGGGAAGTCTTCTTACATGACCAATACCACAAAGCTAGGTGGAAAAGATCCCAGAGGGCTCTGGTGCTTGGTGTGTTTCTCTAAGTTTCCCTGAAATAATTGAAAATATAGATGAAGTGAGAGAATTTACAGATTATCATTTATATAATATTATAACTTCTCCCCTTTGCCAGTATCCTTCTTTTCTTCAAAGCAAAGCTTTTAAAATAAAGATGAGTGAATAAAGATTGATTATAAATCATTTTACTATTAGGACACATGCACATGAATGTTCACTGCAGCACTGTTTACAATAGCAAAGACCTGGAACCAACCCAAATGCCCATCGATGATACACTGGACAGGGAAAATGTGGCACATATACACCATGGAATATTATGCAGCCATCAAAAACGATGAGTTTGTGTCCTTTGTAGGGACATGGATGAACCTGGAAACCATCAGTCTCAGCAAACTGACACAAGAACAGAAAATCAAACGCCACATGTTCTCACTCATGGGCAGGTGTTGAACAATGAGAATGCATGGACACAGGGAGGGAAGCATCACACACTGGGGTCTGTTGAGGGGAAATAGGGGAGGGACAGCATGGGGTGGGGAGTTTGGGAGAGATAGCATAGGGAGAAATGGCAGATATAAGTGAAGGGGAAGAAGGCAGCAAATCACACTGCCATGTGTGTACCTATGCAACAATCTTGCATGTTCTTCACGTATACCCCAAAACCTAAAATGCAATTAAAAAAAACCTATTGTATATTTTCATTCATATTCATTGTAAATATAGACCAAAGCAAGCTCTGGTCATTGAGTTTAGAGCATGATTGTCTCTGGTGGGAAGCAGGGGTTGATTGGAAAGCTCCTGGCATGAGAGAATGCGATGGGGCTGTGGGAATGTTCTACATCTCCTTTTGGGTATATATAATTGTTAAAACTCAATGACATGGAGACCTATGGCCTATGCATTTTTATTGCATGTATTTTAAACTGGAGAAAACCGAACAGGAGACAAGACAGGAGTAGCTGAAAAAGTAGAAACCATGTTAAGAAATACTGTGAAGCTGACTGCTAGGTTGGTGGGGAGAAAACATGGAGGGTAATGGAATCACCAGTGCAGAACCAAAAGGAATCAAGATTTTTTGGCACCAGGAACCTACAGATTTGGGAGTCAAAGTGAGGTTAAAGACAGAGGTTTTGACAAAAATCTGTTGGAGAAGTTCCCTGAGTTCCTTGGGTCAGCTCCAACATGTTAGCATCTGGATGACTACTTCCACCAACTACTTCCACTCAACTTCTAGTGGCAGATGAGCCTTTCTCACTCCTATATTCCAGGCGAGAATTGGAGATTGCTAAAATTAGGTGATGAGGTCGGATTGTGGATATGAAAGTGCAAGGAAGAAAGGAATTCCGACAATCTCTGGAGATGGTAGCTTGGCTCACGTTCTAATTTGAAATGTGAAAACTGAGTTTCTGCTTGTTTTCTTCAGCTGCATCGCAATCTTATCCTAGGCAGATTGATGCTTTCTGCTTTCTGCACGTGGCTAGCCAGTTTTCCCAACACCATTTATTAAACAGGGAATCCTTTCCCCATTGCTTGTTTTGTCAGATTTGTCAAAGATCAGATGGATGTAGATGTGTGGTGTTGCCACTGAGGCCTCTGTTCCATTCCATTGGTCTATATCTCTGTTTTGGTACCAGTAGCATGCTGTTTTGATTACTGTAGCCTTGTAGTATAGTTTGAAGTCTGGTATTGTGATTCCTCCCACTTTGTTCTTTTTGCTTAGAATTGACTTGGCTATGTGTGCTCTCATTTGCTTCCATATGAAGTTTAAGGTGGTTTTTTCCAGTTCTGTGAAGAAGATCATTGTTAGCTTGATAGGGATAGCATTGAATCTTTAAATTACTTTGGGCAGTGTGGCCATTTTCACGATATTGATTCTTCCTAACCATGAACATGGAATGTTTCTCCATCTGTTCGTGTCCTCTCTTATTTTGTTGAGCAGTGGTGTGTAGTTCTCCTTGAAGAGGTCCTTTACATTCCTTGTTACTTCTATTCCTAGGTATTTTATTCTCTTTGTAGCAATTGTGAATGGCAGTTCATTCTTGATTTGGCTCTCTTTACATCTGTTATTGGTGTATAGGAATGCTTGTGATTTCTGCACATTGATTTTGTATCCTGAGACTTAGCTGAAGCTGCTTATCAGTTTCAGGAGATTTTGGGCTAAGACGATGGGGTCTTCTAAATATACAATCATGTCGTCTGCAAATAGAGACAATTTGACTTCCTCCTTTCCTAATTGAATGCTTTTTATTTCTTTTTCTTGCTTGATTGCCCTGGCTAGAACTTCCAATACTATATTGAATAGGAGTAGTGAGAGAGGGCATCCTTGTCTAGTACCAGATTTCAATGGCAATGTTTCCAGTTTTTGCCCATTCAGTATGATATTGGCTGTTGGTTTGTCATAAATAGCTTTTATTATTTTGAGATATGTTACATCAATGCCTAGTTTATTGAGTGTTTTTAGCATAAAGGGCTGTTGAATTTTGTCAAAGGCTTTCTCAGCATCAATTAAGATAATCATGTGGTTTTTGTCTTTGGTTCTGTTTATGTGGTGAATTATGTTTATAGACTTGCATATGCCTAACCAGCCTTGCATCCCCAGGATGAAG